CCGTCTCAAGCACAGCAGTCATGTCCACATGGTCCCACATTTTCTGGAATAAGGCGTGCACGATGCCATAGTACGCCGTGGTAGACTTGAGCTCGGTGTATAGCGATCATCTTGGCCAATTGAGAGGGTGAATTGGCCATTGGCCCCGACCATAAGCCGCGCCTGTGTGATGTCCGTCCACGTGGCATCCTTGTCGGTAGCGACTTTCAGGATCGGGGCAAAGATCCACGGCACCCGGCCAAGCGCTCTGAAGCGATTGGTCCAAAATAGGACTTGTTTGGAGGCGGTGAGGCCACCAACGATAGCCTGCTCCTTCATGATGGAGATGGTCGCAAAAGCATGGACCCATTCCAGCATCTGATCAGATTGGCATATGTGAACAATCTGGTCTCTCTTCGGCAATTGACTTTCCTCTTGCTCCGGAAAGGGATTGGCGCTGTACTCCACCAGCTTGGTCGTGGTGACCGGGCCCTGGTATTTGACTTCCGCCCTTGTGGAGGGGGCGTCCACAAGGGGAGTCGATTTAATGATGCCCGGGGCTGGAGTCTGCGGGATCATCTCTGGCGCCGAAGTCTTGGTCGCGGGAGCTGGTGCCGGCTTGGTCTGGGCAGTTGAAGGGGGAGCAGTCGGGGTCGCAGGCCTTCCCGAGAATGCATTGTAAGGGGCATCACGGGTTTGGCCGGAGCCAGCAGATGGTGTAGGTGTCAACCTTCCAGCCAAGTGTAGAAGAGGCGGTGGCCGGTGCTGCAGCCGTCTGGTCATTGACCCCTCGCTCATCCTCGAGGGCAAATGGCCAACGGCCCCGCGCAGGTGTGTCGAGGCCAAGTCCGAATCTGGCCTTGGACACCGACGCCGTGGGCACCCACTGCGGGGGGGGGGGGGGGTCCGCCGTTGGTGTTGGCGGTGGCGGGGCCACTGCACAGAGGGTTAGCTGGTTCAGCCGGGCGCTGTGACCACATGCTAGAGCGTTGTGGTGGCTCCAGCTCGTTCGGAAATTTCAACCGCTTGCCCTGGCGATCGCAATATCTGCAGGAGAGCCAATCGGGATCATCAGGGTGGAGGCACAGTCCACGGGGGATGTTGCGAAGGACGGCTTCTGCCGTGATTCCGCTGTACTGCGGTTCACGCTCAACCGCTGCCATGATCATGTCGAAGTCGCCTCGTTCGAGGCTACTGAGCACGGTCTCGCCGACCACCCTGGCTCCTGCATTGGTGAGCATTGCTCCCGCCTATGCTGGGAAGGGTGCTGCTGAGGCATCGCCACCGGCTTCAACGACCTCGGAGATAATCTGGGGCACGCTCTGCATTAGAATATTTTCATTTCTCTGAGCTGCCCTTGGGTCTCCTTTGAAGCCCTTGCGCCAGCTCCAGAATCGGGTGAAGGCAACCCGAACGCACTGGCTGGTCTCAAAGTAGTGGCCATCAGACTGGAGCTCCTTGGATCTTGTGAGTTGCGCCGAGTGGCGCTCGCAGAGCAAATACGCCGGGCCAAATTGGCGAGTCTGATTCCATCCCGGCACGGGCGTGTGGCCCATGTCATTCGTGAGGAGCTTCCAGAGCTCCTTGCAGAAGATCATGTAGTCGAGGTTGGCGACCGACGTGAGGATCTTCTTGCTGAAGGCGTGGTTGATCGCGCAGAGGATCAATGGGTGGCGCGGCTGTCCATAGATGATGCCTTGAAAGATGTGGTCGTTTTTGACCCCAATGCCCATGATCAAGTTCTCTTGGGGCAGGATACCCTCCTCCCCGTTTGGGCAGTGCCCCAGCTCCTTACTCTTTCTGACCTGGACATTGTCCCATTCTGCAGCGATGTGCTTGAGCACGTCATCGAAAGGCATTCGCAATGCCATCTTGATGTCCAGGTACAAGCCGCCATGCTGGTAGTGGTAAACACACCTGAAAACATCGGTCTTGTGAGCTGGTTGCATCAGGCTAAATTTTTCACCGCTGTCTCCAGCATGCAACCGAAGAGTCTGGAGCAGGACCTCGTCGTTGCAGAAGGTGCGCTCGAAGTCAGCCAGGAACTCCTTGCACATGTTCTTGGGGCCGGGGCGGTCATCGTGCATGTACGTCTGAAACATGGTGCGGGGCATAGGCCGGCGGCCAGCATTTGGCTCGAGGAAGGGCCGGAAGACCCAGGCCTTTCCCGTGCGGCGTGCTGCCACCGCTCCAATCTCAGACAGTGTCTCCGAGCCACACAGGTCAGCTGTGGCATTCATCTCTTTGTGGACATTGTCCCCCGCGCAGTTCCATGAACAGATGATCAGAATGTGGGTCGCATTGGGCTTCAGGCGCCTCATGGTTCTGATAGAACGGGACAGGAGCAAGCCAATGACCCGATCCGCCACCAGCGGTCTGAAATGACAGTTGTTCTGGTTGTAGATCTGGTCGACCAGAGGAGAAGGGCCTTGGAGGCTCATGATGGTCTCTTCGCTGAGCTCATACCTGCTCAGGCCATATTGGTCGCGAATTCCCGCTATCCAATCATCGTCCTTCTGCTTGTGGGGCAACAAGCTTTGGCGCAGGGGGATCATGCGCACGCTGACTTCATCGTAGTAGTGGTCGCGGAGGAAGCTGATCAATGCTTGTGGCTCTCCGCGGGGTATGGGCGAGTCTCGCCCAGAACCCGAATGAACTGCCAGGCCAGCACTTCCAGCACTGCCGGGTTCGGCGGCATGTTGGCCGCACATTCTGCTGTAAGAGTGGTTCCCGGGCAGGAGATGACATAGCCGTGCAGTGCACCCTGGTTAACATCGATGATGCCATATGATTGGCCATTGGCCCCCTTCCAAAGCAAGTGTTGCAGAGTGCTGTCACTGAGCACCAGAAAAGGCTTCGGCGTCGTTGGTGTCGCCGCCATGTCAGGCACCAGGGCGTGCTAAGTGCCACGCCGCAACTTGTCACGAGGCAGTGGAGGAAAGCTGTGAAAGGAGTGTGCAAAGTGAGAGATCTACCTGCTTGGAACTGTGCATGCTGCTGTGTCTGCGACTGTTCTGCCAATGGTCTTGAACCTGGCTATGCGACGTAAACACCTCTGAGGCAACTTCGGCACGGCAGCAATCCTGAGCAGGTCCTAGGAACCGCAGAATTCACAAGGGGCACCGTTCCAGGCCATTCGGGATCAGCATCGTTGGTCAGCGCCAACAAGTCAGTCGATGGGTGTGACCTTAGTATCAGCGTCGTCGTGGTGTAATATGCATATGCAGCAGTGACTCGGAGAGCGTGGGTACAGGTTGCGCCAGAGGCCTATTTTTCAGGTTTTGGCAATGCCTTGAGCCCGTTGGGCATTCTCTCCGTGGACAAAATTTAGAAAGCCAGCGGTCTTGCTCTCGTCCTGCTGGTATCAGAGTATGAGCTGCATTCCCTAGGTCTGAAGCAGCAAGGCGACCGGGCATTGCCCCCTCAAGAAGATAGGCTGGTTTTCAGCCGTGCTGCCGCCGGGAGCTAGAGGAGAGGCGTCTGTACGACACACCTCAAATCCCAAGTACTGCAGGTACTTAGCTGAATGGGCAGAGAGCTTGTCCGCCTCCCGAATGTGGTACGTGCCTAGGATGAGGCGGCGGCCCGTCCACGGCAGTACCAGGTGTCGTCTCGAAGCGTCGAAGCTGAGGTAGGGCAAGGTAACGGGATGCACATGCCCTTTGGGCCCGCCGTAGTCCAACAGGTAGTCGCCGGTCTCGTCCTCCACAAAGAGGTGGCCGCCCTCGAAGTTGGAGAGAGGGATCAAGAGGTTATTCACCCCGTCCTGATTGTTATCGGTGTGTAGGCCGGAGGCCATGTTGCGTGCCAGGAATAGGGTGGTGCGCGGATGGCGTCCTGCCATGGTGCGCACAACCGTGTTGAGGAGGCACGCCGCCATCGGAAAACGGTGCGTCTGTGTCCTCAGTCCGGCCATTGGCCCCTGTATGTATGTGCCCAGCGTGACAATTTGCTGGTCCGCAGACTGAGGCAGTGCCACCGATGCATGCCGACAGGTCGAAGTAGTCGGAAGGAGGTCCAGCAGGGCATCCAGTTGTTCAAAGGTAACCCACCTGCGATGTAAGTAGTCCGCAGCAGCCTTTTCCACTGCGCACAGAGTGAACTTGTGCTCCATTTCGTCCATGTATGGAGGAAGTTGGAGACACACCCCTGGCGCCTGTGCCTGAGGGGTGTATAAGCTCAGCGCCGAGATGATGGAGCCTTGCCGCTCCTGTTCTGGATCTTCTGCTTCTTTGGCTTCGAGGAAGTTCTGCGGGAGGTCCTGCGGGGCGGTCGGCTGTGCGAGAGTGGGGCGTCGGCATTTCAGCGCCGGCTCCGGGGTTTCCTCATCAGACCCGTCTAGGTCCATTGGAACACACCCCGAGCTGTCACGGAGTCGCCACATCCCATGCACGTGCGCTGTCGAAGTACTGCTGCTAGGCCGACTACGCCTAGCTATCGTGACCTGAGAGCCTGCTAGGCGTGCATGGCTGATGGTAGAAGCCACAGATGAAGGCAGAAGAGTGTGTAACCTGCTATCTATTCTGAGCGTGCATCAGTGTAGACTGGCAAACTGACGGTGAAGCCGCTGTCCCTTTTTGCATAGCTGCGATTGCATCTTGAAGGACGGTCGACGGTCGAGAAAAAGAGGCCATGTTTTGCAGACAATGGCACGCCTGCCGTCAGGCAGCTGGAGAAGTAATACCCGGCCGATACAGAGCCTGGTCGACATTGTCGCCGCCGCGGGGATCAGGGAGGCGGACAGTGTCCCAGCGGCTCTAAGGTGGCGAGGGCTTCGTGTGCGGGCACTCCCCGACAAAGCGCTCCGGATAGGCCTGCATGTCCCCGGCCACGCCTCGTAGCAAGCCCGCTGCGGCATGAAGGCTGCGAGTCCAGTCCTCAACAGTAGTTTTGCGGTAGCCTGGGATTTTGGGACGTGCCAAGTCAAGAGCCACAAAAGCATCACCAGACTGCAGCATGTGTCCCTTCGCATCGAAGGGGACATCACTGCCTCCTGGTGCAGCCATTGGTTTGAAACGTGCCTATAATTCAAAGGCGGGCCTCTCCTGATCACTGCCGTGAGCCATTGGAGGAGGCACCGGCGGGGCGCCCTGGCTCTGAGCGGGCGGGGGCTGGGTCTGTGCCGAGGAGGTCAATGCCTGATTTGTGGCGGGGCTGGTTGGTGTCTCACCCCAAATGTGTGGGAGCTGGGCTGGTTCGCCATGAGACTCCGGTTGTGATGTCTCTGGTCCCTGGGCGACAGCCTTGTCTTCCACGGCGGATCGTGCCATAGGTGACGCGGTCGTCGAGGGTGGCGCCTTCTCTTGCAGAGTGTGAGCCGTGCTCCCACACTTCGAGTCTGGGGTTGTCAGTGACACCGCGTCCTCTTTTTGCTCCGAAGGCTGCGTCGGAGGAGGAGGAGGAGGAGGAGGAGGAGGATGCTTGTCCATCACTAGGTAGCCACCGAGGCTGGAGTCGAGGTTGGGGTAAGACTCCCAAGGGAAGACTTCCTGATAGACGTACCTGAGGTGGCGGCCACAAGTTCGCAATTCGGCAGACAGGTAGAACTTGGCCCAGACAGCTGATTTGTCCCATGATCCAAGTCCTGAAAAGGCATCTGCCGGATCGGCCTGTTCAGGGACCAGGGAGCCATTGTTATTGCCGAACTTGTCCTGATCTGGTGAAGGTGGCGGCGTCGGCCCTGAGTTCCCCGTTTGCACGCCGCAGGCCTGCATGCAGTGTGATGGTGGGATTGTAGGCAGAATCCGTCCAGGAGCCAGCGGGGAGTGGGGAGTTGGGATAAATGGGCTGTGTCAGTGACGCCGCTGCCCTGACGTCTCTTGGGTTGATCCTCATCCGGCATGAACTGCTTGAGAATCGCTTGGGCGAGCCGGTAGAAATCTCCATGCGCCGTCCTGACCGAGGAGCTTCGAGGTTGGGCGGCCGATGCAGGTCGCCGCCATAGCCGAAAGCACCAAAGCCGTTGCCCAAGGGGTAGATTGCCTCGCCAGTAGTCAATGAGCACAAAACTGGCCGGCTGTTGTCGGACCATGATGTTGCCCGCGTGCACGTCCCCGTGGACGATTTGGGCTGAGTGCAGCATCTGCAGTGCAGCCGCGATGTCAAATTTGAGCCGCTGGACAGTGTCCCCAGTGAGAGTGCGGGGGGCAGACCAAAGGCGTGGCATGAGAGCTCGAGGTCCATCCGCCGCATAGATGGTGTTGATCACGGAGAGGGGCGGGAGCCTCGTGATGCGACGCAGTTCTTTGCGAAAGTCCGCCTCATGCTCTGCCTTGACCTGTTTGATGACAAAGTTGGCTTAAAGTTGGGGTCATCATGGGACAGGTACACCGTGCAAGTGTAGCCTCGCCCAATTGTCTTGCCGACCGTGCCCTTCAGCCAGGGTGGAAGGGGTAGGGATCTTCTGCACAGTTTGTGCGTGATCAGTCATGGCAGCCACAGTCTCCGTAGCCATGCGATGCGGGTCGTGGTCGAGTCCAAGACGGATGTGGAGGGTGTCCAGGGCCGCAGCATCCGAGCCGGCCGCCATGTCCGTCGCAGCGTGGAAAAGTAGGCCTGAGGCACTAACCTGCTACGACTAACGGCATTGGATTGCAGGCACAACTGAAGGCCGAGACAAGCTACCCTATGACTCTTGGTCGAAGAAGTCTCGACTATTCAATCACTTTTCAAATCCTGTCAGCGTGGGGGCGGCATCGGGGGCCGCTGGCGACCAGACGGTAGCGATGTAGAGGTCTTCTCCTTGGTATTCTTAGTCCGCTCTTTCACGTCCGAAGTAGCCGAAGTCACAGTTGTCTTTGAAGGCTTGTCAAGGCCCAGCTCCCTGATTTTGTCCCACTGCGCATCGTAGTAGTCGAAGTCAATCTCGCGCTGCAGCCCCTGCATGCTGCGGTGCAAAGGGCTGGGAGGTATCAGGGTGCAAGTCCGAAAACCGAGAAGCTGCGTAACGGAAAGGGAAGTGGTGTCGCTGCTTCTTTCACTGTGTGTGAGGCATTGGATAATGCGGTGCTCCCTAGTCCAGATGGAGCGGCAACTCTTTTCATGGATATTGTTCGCCATGCTATTTGCCGGAGATTGTGGGAGCGGCACAGCATTTGGCTGACAGCTCGCGCCCCACCAATGCAAAAACAAGTGCGAGCATTGCTCCTGAAACCGAAATGACACGACGTAAAAAGAGTTAGGCCAGCTCCAGCAGCTGCCATTGGCACCGCACGATCATCCTGTCTTGCCTCTTGCCTTTCTGGCCAGGCCTCCAGGCGCCTTCTTGCCGAGGCGCTCCCCTTCGTAAGAGTCCAACAATGCTGCAATCAGCGAGGTGTACTGCGCGAGCGGGGAATGTAGAACCGGACGGAAGTCAAGAATGAGGTGGGTCTTGAGGGCGTTCTGCCTGGCTGAGCAGTGCGCGACCATGTGAACCACAGCCTCATGCGCCGACTCTCCGAAATCTTCGACCAGCTTGACGAAGGCTTTGAACTGTGCAGTGTCCATGCCCGGCGGCTTCTGCTGAGATTGGGCTAGCTGGACGAGCATTGCTCCCGCAGTAAAATGAGCACATGAACCCAGTGGGTGCGCTTTCCCTGGCGTGTGGTTTTTCCGCCACGCAGCCACAGCCTTGGAGAGGGCCTGTGCGAGGCGGGCGTCCTGTACACCAGCCAAGCCTGAAGGTAGTAGAGCAAGCTGTTCTTCATTTGGGTAAGCTCAGCATTGGATAGGGCATGCAGGGCTCTGCCTGGCCGCTGCTTGCCGCCGCCGGAGGTCTGGCGTCGTGCATCGACCCCACTCCTGTCTTCTCAAGAAAAGGAGGTAACAGTCTTCCATTACATGTTTGCGATCTGAGGCCGAGGCCGGGTAGGGGCGAGTGGCGTCATCGCCCACATATAGCACGCCTCCGTTGGGATGAATCCAGAAGGACCGGTAATGCCCGGTGTGAGCACCTAGGTGAAAAACTCCCGAAATGACCGCATATCGGTGCCATTGCCTGTCCTGTCCCTCAGTCCAAGACGGCAGAGAGATGTGCCTGCGCAGGTCCAGCGGGGTACGTCGCTTTGTGCCATCCATCCAGCGAGCAACGGTGACTGGCAGGATGTCGGGGCCCATGCCAGAACTCGCTGGAACATGTGATTGTACCAAGCCGTGCAGGCCTGCTGCAGCGTGCGACAGGCGGAGGACAGCGGCAGCAGGAGTGGTGTGAGACCATCGTCTTCACTTAGTCCATTGGTACGTCCGTCCCAACGAAGTGCCCGTATTGTGCTCTAACACATACGTTACAAATTCGGAGGCGTCTTGTTGACGGCCGTCGAATCGCCATCTTGGCACCAGGGACCGGAGAGCGAATAGGCCTGGAGGATTTATGGGCCTCGTATCCACTGGATCCGCTTCCGTATGCAATGTTGAACCAGTGGTTCCAGCTCTGCTACATTGGAGGCAGAATCAAGCGCCGCTACTGTAGGAGGGCTTGAATGGTCGCGTTAGCATAGCACGTGTTACCCGAGTTCAACATGCGTCGCATGCGAGAGTACAGGCCTTGCGGGAGTGTGCTGCCGGCGGCACCTGTCGGCGCCATGGCGACAGGTGGCGATGGAGCCACGGCGGCTGGCTTGTCCGTGGCCGCGAAAAAACCACTGAGTGACATTGTCACCGCGGTCTATTGACTAGGTTTGGAACATTGTTCCCGCATTTTTCTGTTCCTTGTACCTTGTGCCATCCAAACAGGACCTGAAACAGGACAATGCACTGCTCCGGGTGCTTGCGTTTGTCATAAACATGCAGCTTGCAGAAGGGACACGAGTGTCCCTGAATCATCTGCACAGAATATGCCTTGCATAGCTGAATGGCAGCCGGACCGTCACGTTGCCAGGCCGGTGCATGGGCCTGTCTGTGGTGGTTTTTCATCTTGGTATGGTCTGGGGTCCAAAAACCGCACAAGATGCACCGATGTTTGAGCTCCTGAGCTTCTGGCAGGGTTGCGAGAGCACCGAGTCGGGTACTCGGCGAACTTTGCACCTTAGCTCGGAAGGTCGCCAAGCCCTGAAGGGCCTGGCCTTGCAGCTGTTCCTCTGTGGTTAGAGACACCTGGCGCAGGCGATCTGGTTGCGTGCAGGTCCCCGACAAGAGATGGTCGCGTAGACCTTTCCATTGATGGAATGCCTTATTGCATGCAGAACAGACAGGCAGACCGTCCTTAGAAGGTCGACTGCGATCGAAGGCAGGGGGTATGTATCTTGGCACGTGTTCTCGATGCATTCGTGTAACATGCATGTGTAATCCGTGCGCAGATACAAAGCCAGACTCGCAGTGAGGGCAGGTGTGAAGCCGCTACTGCGAGGCCTCAGTGGACGCCGGAAGGTTCTCGACCTCTCTCAGTATGTCCTGCAGGTCCTGTACGACGTGACTCATCTGCGTTGTGTCACCGTATGTAGCTTGTTGTGGCGGCTGATGGTGTGCGTCTGAGCTCAGGGGCCTCTCGCCATCAAGGATGCACTTGGAGTGCCCGCCGGCAGGGCTGAGGTGATGGCCTCAGGTTGTGTTGGTCGTTTGCACAACCGCTGGAGTCTGGAAGCCATCCTGGCTTGATTTTTAGCTACCGGGTCCTGGATCGAGTGCAGTCGGTACAGGTCGGCCGTTGGTATATGGCTGACATGAGCAGGCTGATTGAGGACTGAGCGTATCTTCTGCGCGTACCATCCTCTGAGATGCCTGGCCGTCTCCGCGGTGAGGCCGACTTCGGGAAGTCCCGTGACCAAAGTGGCCCAGACGGTGGTGAACCAAACCTTTAGCCTGGCCATTGGCCCCGCGGTACGGCGATTGTAAACGAATCGCTTTTGGCAGCCTCCGCTATGCGGAAACGCAGCGTCTGCATTTCAAAGTTGCCATAGGAGATTTGGATGCCCAGGTACTTGATTTGCGGCTCAAGTTTGCAGGCCGGGAAGGATTTGTGCTTGCCCAGTCGCCAGTGCTTCTGTAGCTTTCCCTCCGAGTCGGGGAGCCAGCATGTGTGCTTCTGAAGCATTGCTTCCGCCTCCCTGCCATTGAGCTTGACTAGTATGGCACATTTGGCCGGATTGACACGAAGTCCCAGTTTCGTCACCTCCGACAGCAGCTGAAGGATTAGCTTATGGGCAGCATCCACATCTGCTTTGCTGCGGATGGTGCGATGCATGGTGAAGTCGTCCGCGTACCCTGTGAAGTATCTGCGGACATTGTCCCAGCCGAATGTGTCTATCAGCTTATGAAGGAGACGGCCTGTGAGCACGGAAAACAGCGTGGGGGCCAATTTACATCCTTGTTTAATGCCAGCGGTGGTTTCCACATCTTTATAGGCCCCTTGCGCGTGAAGCCTATATTTCGACCGATGATGAAGATGATGAAGACCATGTATGAGCTTCTGGAGCGGGGGGTCTGCGCCAAGTTCGTCAAGCAGGGACAGGATCTCGCTGCGTGAAACCGTGTCGAATGCCTGTGAAAGGTCGAGAGCGAAAGTGATACCGCCTACTAGCCCTACAGGACATTGTCCCGGCTGCTGATCCGCTCGAGCTAGGTTCGCATTGCGACAGAGTTGCCTGGCTTCTCTCAGATGCTGAACCACTCTACTTTGTGCATCAGACAGACCCCGCCCGGGAAGATATGCAAACTGGTGCAAAAGCTTCATGTACGGTAGCGTGAGGGGCTCAAGGAGCTCCTTTGCCGTGCCCGCCAGTCCCTTAGCATCCGGGCGAAGAATTCCCAGTGGCCTAAGTTGTGAAGGCTTGTCGGCCGGCTTGCCCGGTTTCGGAATAAGGCAGAGATCCGCGCGAGTCAGATCATCATCCAGAGATTGGTCCTGCGTCAGGCTGGAACAGTATTGTGAGAGCGCTTCAGAGACCGGCTGGGCGCAGAGCTTCCATGCTGCGGCTGGTGCCGCTCCTTTCGGGACTGCCTTGCCAGGTTTGATCGAGGCGATATGTTTCGCTAACTTAGTCCGTGGCAGAAGGGGTAAGAGCCCCGAGTCCGAAGGAAGCTGTGGGTGTGCCGCAAAGACCTTGGTGGCATATTTTCCCAGCTCGTCCAGCTCATTTGCAGGACTAAGCAGGAAGCCTTGCATGTCTTTGAGTTGTGCCTTCAATGCAGGCTTCCACGGTCTGAGTTGCTTGAGAGTCTGATATGCTAGGTGCTGAGCGCCCTGGCTGAGAGCCTGATCCACCTCAGCAAGGAAGTGCTTGGTTTTGTCTTTGCGAGCTTGCCTGCTTATGCTGAGCACAATGTCTGCTGAGCCTCGTCACCCGGCTGTGACTCAGCACTGGGGTGAGCATTGCTCCCACGCGCAGAGCGCCACATACGTCTGGCAAGTCGCGTTTCCGGACTGTCTGGCATTGCCACCGGAATTTTGGGGAAGAACCTGGATGTTGCTTCTCCAAGTAAGCGGTCCCAAGACTCCGGCTGCATGTCCGGGGTGAGGCGTTCTTTTACCCACTCTAGCATTTGCTGAGCCGGCAGCGCGTTGTCCCTGACAGCAGCTTGCAGGGCAGCAGAGTCGTACTGATGCTGCTGAAG